GGGGGGGGGGGGGGGGGGGGGGGGGGGGGGGGGGGTCCCTGCGTCCCTCCTGTCAGCCCAGCCAGGTGTTCACTGTCACATGTGAAATGTTTGCGGGGACACCCCGCTCATGGCTCCCTGACCCCCTGTCTGCCTTCCGTGCCTTCCCTCATGGCAGAGGGGACACATAGCTCACTGGGACCATCACAACAGCCCTCTGAGGGGACCTTACCCCGGTCCCCTCAGAGACAGAGAGGCCCACGGCTAGAAGCCCGTGTGCGGCTCCCGAGCCCAGGGACAGCGGGTCCCAGGGCCTCCCGGACTGGTAGGCACGCAGCCCTGCCCTCAGTGCCGGCCACAGGGTTACAGCGCGCGACCGAGCCGTCCAACCTGGCTGGCGGGGTTTGGCTAGGGAGCAGGGACACCGGGGGTGTGGACGCAGGGGTGCGGTTGATAACGGGTGATGGGTGAGGCCGGCAGGTGCGTGCAGCCGGGGCAGTGAGAGGGGCTGTCGGCGGGGAGCAGTCCAGGTGAGTCCGCGGACTGCGGCCTAGGGACTAGGGAAGGCTCCAGAAGGGAGGCTGGAGCCTGCGTGGCGCGTGTTGCCTGGTGCCCCGTGCACCTCGGAGAATGAAAGCGCTCTGGTTTCCAAGGCGCTGCAGGGACGGGCCAGAGCGGGGCCCGGGTAGGCGCCGCTGGGAAGCTGTTTCCCCCGCCCCAGGATGAGACCCTTGGCGTCCAGAGCCCTGCGCGCCAGCAGAGAGTGACTCCAGGCTTTGCATTGCAGTACACGGTGTGTAGTCCCGCGGGCACCGTGGGCGGTCCGGCTGCAGTGGACACAGATGAGCCTCTGTTTGAAGATGCGCAGACGCTGAGAAAGTGAACGAAGAGGCTCGCCAGGTACGGTGCGCAGGGCTGAGCTGGGTGTGCCCGCGCTGGGTTTGCCTGAGAAGCACTCGTAGGAGGTGACGGGGGCTCCATCCGCGCCGTCGGTGTGAGCCAGCGAACAGCTCGGCGTTGGGAAGCTCAGACGAGGCAGTTGATCTGTACGTCCTAACGGTCAGATTGCTAGACGGAATCTTTGAGGCTTGAGTGCATGCCTGAGGCTGTGATTATTTTCTTCATTTTTATTAACAGTAATAACCTCAGCCCTTAACTATTCTTTAGATGTTAACCCGGGCAGAAATCAGTTGCTTGGCAATGGGGTCTTTCTACTCACTGCTCACTGGCCCACGTGCTGTGGCCCAGGGGCGTCCCCTGTCAGTTCCCCCACGGCCCCAGGACACCGGGCAGAGCCTCATTTTCCTCCCCAGCGACAGAACCAAACCGAGGTCCACACTGCCTCGCGGGGCAGGCCAGGAGCCAGGGACGCCCGTGGGCCGTGGTCGTCAGGACCTCCCCACCCCTTGCCTATGCTCAGCAGGTTTCCATGGCGGCAGAAATACACGTTTAGACCACCGCTGATCCAGAGACAGGCTTTTCTTACTAAATTGGGAATGTACACAATTTGGGCTCTAAAGAGGGTGATGTGCTAAGTCCCTGCCTGTGTGTGAGGGAGCCTGCCGACTGCTGAGTTTCTCCTAGCGCGCCTAGCACAGTCCTGCCTGGATCGGGGCGTAGGGGCCCGGGGGGACACGGGCCTCTCTGACTCTGAAACTTGAATCCCCTTGGGCCAGCTCGACAGGTCCTAGCGGCACCCAGTGCCAAGATGCTGAAGTGTGAACGGCCACACTGGCTAAACGGTGTTGTGTGCCAGGTGCAGGCGGAGGGAGCCTTGCCAGCGGGTGGAACCAGCTCACTGAGGCAGAGAGGGGTTAGTGCAAGCAGCCTTCATTCCCCACCTGCTCAGGTGGGGCCGGGCATGAGCAGGAGCAGGGGACCCCCACCCTGCAAACGGCACCCTGCCCCGCGGCCCCCAGCACTAGCGCTTGCCGTGCCACCACCTGCTCTGAGCTGTGCTGTCCGCCCAAAGCACGGAGCTCCAGGCTCCGGGTGAAGAGGACAATGTAAAAACATCTCACCCGTAATTTTCTTTATGCTGCCACGATCTAGTCTTTTGGATATAACGGGTCAAATAAAAAACACTATTAAAATTAATTTCACCTATTGCTTTTTACATTTTTAGTGTGGCTACTAGAAAATCTTGGAGTCCTGTACTTGGAGCACATTATTTTTCGATGTGGCAGCACCGGTCCAGACTCCTTTTTCTTAGCAATGAACAAATTTAAGAACAAAATTATATTTTTCTCTATACTGGCTCTGGGGGTGTTAATTTTCCTACTTCGTTTTTTTTGTTTGTTTGTTTGTTTGTTTGTTTTATTGGAACAGGGATTTGAGGTCATGGTTTTACGGCTTAAAGTGTGCCAGAGCGAGAGCTCGCCTATTACTCGCAGACTCAGGAAATCAGATCAGTGCCCCTCCTACCAGGAAGTTGCTTAAGAACTTGTGACCATATTCATTTTTAAGCCACGTGGCCCGTGCAGAGCTGGGAAGGAGGGGGATGGTCTACAAGTCAGTTTTGGGGCGTTAAATAGTTCAGCTTCAGAGGTTTTGGGGTTTGTTCTGTTCTTTTTTTTTTTTTTTTTTGGAACACCCTTTGGTCTAGAGCAGGAAATGAATGACCTGTGTCCACAGCGTAATGGAGGTGTACGTTACAGTCCTATTGATGATTGAAGGTGGCTCTAAAGGATCAAGTATGTGTTCAAGAATGCACACCAATTGGGGCGCCTGGATGGCTCAGTCGGTAAAGCATCCGACTCCAGCTCAGGTCATGATCTCATGGTTCGTGGGTTCGAGCCCCGCCTCAGGCTCTGTGCTGACAGCTCAGAGCCTGGAGCCTGTTTCAGATTCTGTGTCTCCCTCTCTCTGACCCTCCCCTGCTCACGCTGTCTCTCTCTCTCTCTCAGAAATAAATAAAACATTTAAAAATAAAAAAAAAAAAATGCATACCAAAAGAGCATTCTAACCTTGAGTGAAAACCTTAGAGTCGACCCTAGTACTTACGGGACAGCCAGTCCCGAGAACACCTTCCTGGTGGGTATGCTGCCTGCTCTCAGCACAGGGGGTAACGTGAAGGGATCACTCTCTAATCATCTACCCACGTAGTGCTAAGTAACGGGACACAGATGGGGCATTTTCTAGAGAACTCTTGTATCATGACTCTTGAGGTAAGATAATCTAACTAAGTTTTTCTGTGTATTCGACGGTCCTTTGGAAATTATTTCCCCACTCCTGCCTCTTAGGTGTCTGTGATCACATTCCTGGGTCAGAAGACTCGATGCCATTAAAATACCACCAAGTTAACGTGATCTCCATCAGAATCCTAGCACACTATTTTTAATGACATGCGGATTCTAAAATTCATAAGGAAACACAGAGGACCTAAAATAGCCAAAGCAACTTTGAAAAAGAATAAAGCTGGAAGATTAATACTATCCAATTTTAAGATTTATTATTGATTTCTGCAGGTCAGTTGAATCCACCCCTCCAATCTCAAATTATCTAGATGCATATATTTATAGTCTTAGGTATAATGTTTGATATAATAGCTCTTCTGAATTTGAAAAATATTGGAGTCATATCCCTGAAACTCTCAGAAACTGTTGCTAAACGAAGGAGAAGACACCTACGTGCAGGAAAATTATGTGTACAATTTGGAGACCAAATAACAGCTGAAAACTAAAGTTTGAATAGTTTCAGTGCTCTTTTAATTTTGTTTTTGGCTAATTTTATTTTTCCAAAACAAGTCGACACTTCTTTAGAATGATTTGAACGTTGGCCAGGACAGGAGACATGAGAGGTAAAGGGCAGAAGTGTACCAGGGAGGAAGGACGTCCCTGGGGGGGGGGGGGGGGGGGGGGGGGGGGGGGGGGGGGGGGGGGGGGGGGGGGGGGGGGTTGGTTGGAATTTTGTAGAGAAAGTCAATTATATATTGACCTGTGAGAACCACAGTTCGTTTTGTTCTAAGGAACCTGTATAGCCCTACATAGAACATCCAAAGAAAAGTAGTCAATTTCATGTGAATGACATTTATACCGGAGACGTTTAAAATGTTTACAATTCTCCTTTTTAACAGTTGGTTGGGAGAAAAGCAGTGTCAGCCGTGCAGATAAGGAAGGTGTAGACAGACAAAAGGTGGGAAGTGAAGGTACAGCTTACTCAATACGTCGAGTGACTAAGGCTTGTGTCCTCAGGCGGGGACCTGACCAAAGTAACATCAGACGTGAAGTATTTTCCCGCTTCCCCCGTCGCTCCAGCTTGGGGTGGGAGAGACCAGCGGGGTCCCTCAAGAAATCCTAACAGGCTGCGTCCTCGGTGGCGTAGTGAAAATGCGCACCATCGTGTGTCCCCAAGCCCTGCACTTCTGCTCCCACTTACTGTGTGAACTTGGCCTTTCAGACCCGCCGACGCACTGCCAACAGAGGCTGGGCCTCCAGCCCACGCTCCGCCCCGCCCGCCCGCACCCCCTCCCACTGCCTCGTGTTCTCTCCTCCTTCTCTGCCTGCTCTGTTTCTGGTCTTTTCCCTCCCATGCTTCGTGACCATCACACTGCTCCACCGGCCAGTGTGAGACACCCGCGCAGAAGGGCCCAGATTGCCCAGCGCCCTTGCTCCCTGCCGGGCTCGGGGGCCCGCGTTCTCTCCGCTTGCACGTGCTGGCTCCGGTTCCAAGGTTTTCACTGTTGCCTTTTTCTGTCTAAATGCTGCTTCTCCGGAATGAATGCCTGTCTCAGCGGTGATTACATATTTCCAGGACGTCGAAGTCCTGGTTTTGTCTGGCCTCGCTGTGGCGTTGTGTTACGCTCCATGTGGACCAGACACAAAATCCAGGGTAGAGTTTTCCCCATGGAGCATCTTGTGGACCGAAAGCAAACATGAGTCGGCACCGTGACTGACTGTCCCTCGGGGCACGTGCCCTTCGCAGCCCCCTGACCCAAAGCCATCTCTCGCTAGTTTTCAGGGGGAAACGCAAAATCCCCGCCTTTGCCATAGTTGAGTGTTAGTATCCAAATAACATATCTGGAACTATTCTTAAAATGTCTCACGAAGTTCCTTCTGAACCTTGACATTAATGCTGTTTACATAGATAAATTCACAGAGAACCCCCAGGAAACGTTAGCTCTGCGAAAGATGTGAACTTCGCACGTGTGACTTTTCTGCAGGCTCTGGAATTGTTCTGAAAAGGCAGGAAAAGCAAACTTTCTCTCTGCTGAGGTTAGATAGCCAGGACTGTGAGCGGCTGTGGTTATGCCCTTCCCGTCAGATGACCGACTTCACGCGAATTTTCTCTGATAACGCGTCCGTCCTCTACCACAAAAAGAACGTGTTCTCTTTAAATTCTGACGCTGAGCAGAAAAGCTTGGTTCTGATGAAAAGTTTCCAACTAACTGGCAGTTTTCGGTGTATACAGCATGTTTTGATGACTTAGCCGTCTCGTTTTGTTTCAGAAGTACCGGCAATAATGCAGGAGCCCTGACTCAAAACCGAGTGATTTGTTGAATTGTTAGTCATGGAAATATGGGTGCCTTGGGTATAAACTGCCTGGATCAGCCCCCCCACGCCCCACCCCATCCCCACCCCACTTTCTTTGCAGATTCACAATGCTCTAAATCCTCATGCAAAAATAGGAATCTTTTTTAAAAATGTTTCAGTGAAGGGGCGCCTGGGTGGCTCAGTCAGTTAAGCGTCTGACTTCGGCTCAGGTCATGATCTTATGGTTTGTGAGTTCAAGCCCTGCATCGGGCTCTGTGCTGACAGCTCAGAGCCTGCTTTGGATCCTCTGACCCTCCTCCACTTCTGTCTCCCTCTCTCTCTCTGTCTCTCCCCGCTCAAAAATAAATAAGCATTAAAATAAATAAATATATTTAAGTAAAACCTAAAAACTAAACTTCAGGAAGAGAATGGGATGGACAAGGGGGTCTTTTATTTCTTATTCCTGATATTGGGAAATTTTATGTAAGTAATTAAGTCCGGGTTTTCTAAGTTCTAGAGGGCTTGTTCCCACAAGTGATCCATTTAGTACCTCTTACTTTGAGGACCTTCTTTCAAATCTGAAAGAAGTTTGAGACGTTTTCTTAATTCTAAATCCAGTGTTAACATATTTCTCTTTCATTCTTTTTGTTCACCTCCAAAGGAAATCTCCACTTTCTGAAAGGCTGCTGTAGTGGACGTAGGCGTAAGACTGCCTTCAGTCCCCTTTCATGAAATAGGAGTGTTTTGATACTGATGAGATTTACCGAAACAGGTGGATCTGCAAGATAGAGGGGAACGGGGTGCTCTGTCCGGAGCTGCACTCGTCAGCAGTCGTCCCTTCTCCCTGGCCCTCCGGTCACTTCCAACGGCCCCGGCCGTGGGGGTGCTCAGGGCCGTGCTGCAGTGTGCGTGCTGGGCTCCCGGCCCACGGCTGCCCCCTGACTGCCACTGCAGACGCGCGCTCGCTGCCGCTCCCGTGGCCTCGCTGGTCGCCAACGCCACTGCGTTTCTAATTCCAGGCCCAGAAGGATCTGAAGAAGGACCGGCCCCTCGTGCGCCGCAAGTCGGAGCCGCCGCAGGACCCGCACCCCAGGAACACCTTGGAGGCTCACTGCCGAGCTGACCAGCTGCCCCCCCAGGATGGGCGCTAGCCCCCCGCGGGGCCGCGTCGGGCCGGGGACGCCCGCACGCTCCCGGGGTCTGTAGAAAATACACCCTTTTTGTGCCGTACGAGTCAGTCACACTCAGAGCCCGAGCTTCCCTTCGACCCCGCTCTGCAGGCAATAACGACTTCTGCGTTGGCTCGAGATTCGGAGTTCAAACAATGGTGGCTTCTCAGATGTGTCCGTGGAGCCCGGGGGCCACCGCGCGTCGTCCCCGCGCCGGCGCGGTCCCCCCAGGACGACTTCCCCAAATCAGAGCTAAGGAGAGCACCCCAGACACCTCCACGTCCGGCCCTAATGGGATTCGCGATCGTTGACGAGCGGTTCTGTGATAATATCGATGTGCTTCAAATCAAAGGAACCCTTGAACACAAAGTATTCCATGTTTGTGGAGACTTTACAGCCTTCTCAGTTGTTTCCACGTGATTGTTGCACTGCTAGTTAGTTTCTCTCTTCCTCTTCTCTATCTCTTTCTTCCTCTTCTCTCTCTGTCTCTCCTTTTCATCTCCTCATTCTAACATCCATGCCATCATTCTAACACAAGTCACTGGGAAACGTGACGTGACAATCCGCAGCCGCTCTGTTTTCCTAAGGTGTTTCTTCACTTTGCTGGATGACGTGTGTGCCGTGTCCCTCGTGTATCGCTAAAGCCATATTTCCAGGCCCGCGGCCCAGCCCCGGGGACTCCAGGAGTGAGCTCGCGGGAGACACGTATTGTAAAAAAGAGCTTTCTCCGTCTACCTTGACCGGAATTGGGATTTTAAAACGATGTGTCCATTTGTTTTTTCTTTGCAGAGTTGTTGGGTTTTCTTTCCTCCTCTACTTGCCCATGGTTGCCCTCTCATGAGGCTCTTGAATGAATAAAATTATCATCTCTAAGAATTGATTTGATACATTTTGTAGAACGTTAGAGCGAGATGGTCTCGAGCTCAGCCAGTTCTTGGCCTGACGCACGGGGTGGCCGCCTCCGGGGCATCGAGTAACAAACATGCCAGCAAAGGCCACCGTCCGGGCCAGGCGCCGCCCTGACGTCCGCCCGCTGCCTGGACGCGGGCCCAGGCGCTGCGACGGCCGCGGCGACTCGTGTCCAGCTGCCCGGAGCGCACGCGACAAACACCTCATTGGGAACAGACGTGTCTAAGTGTCCGTGGGCCTTCAAGTGCTGCTATAGATTCCACAGATTTCCTTGCATGTTTTGAGCTTTTTGTTTGAATGGACTTTTGCACGAGGAGAACAAGCTTTACCCGTAGCACTTCGTCCGCTCTGTGTCTCCCTCAGGGTGGCCAGTGTTTTGACCTTCATCCTGCTTGAAAGCTGTTTGAGATGTGTAACTGCTACCCCGAGCACGTGACTGCAGTCCCTTGGTCTCTGGCGTAAGATTACATGAGTTAACGTTAAATGTCGTGGATGCACAGAAGATAAAACGTGGCTTCTCTTAGTCTCGGGTTTTGACACGAGGTCTTGGGTGTCCCTTGACACGTTCTGGGAAGGGGACTCGGTCCCCCAGGCAGCTGTGACGGCCGCTGCCCCTGGGTCCGCCTCCGTCCCTCCATCCACAGCGTCTGTCTCTTTGTGTCCCCGAGGAAGGTGGCGGGGGGGGGGGGGGGGGGGGGGGGGGGGCCTCAGTGTTCGGAGCAAGTGCTAACTGAAAAGAAATTGTCCCAGCTGGAAGCAGGAAGGGCCACTTCGTGAGAGGAAATGCTTCCTGAGAAACTTGACTAGCACCTATCCGTTGTACCCTTATGAAATGTATCATTTAAAAAAACAAAAAGTTTAGATGCCTTCTCCTTTTGAGGGAAAAAGGGTGCTTTTTATTGTATAAAGCAGCGTCTTCTGTATTTTGATATACCATTGTTTGAACTTCCGTCTTTAGCTGATAGATTCTCAAATATCCTTGAGTTTGGATGTTCAGTACGTGTGAGAGAGGGTCTTGGGAAGACTCTCTTCTGCCCTCGGTGAAAAGCAAACTGTCCCTTTCTGGGTGACTGTACAAAGCTCAGCCTGTAAGAACACCTTTTCTGTCGCGGTTTTATTTCTGCTCTTTATTGAAGACAAACATTCACCAAAAAGGGGGGGGGGGGGAGTTTTAATTTTCTTTGACGAGAGTATTATTTCATATTTTGGCCTATTAAGGTTTTCCTAGTTAGTACTCCCAATTCCCTGTGCTGATTGTTCAACTCCTATATGATTATATAGATACACCGTTTATCCTGTACCAGACGGATTTCAAAACTACAACATTGAAAACAAACTGGTGACTGTTTTTCTTCATAAAGTCCTGCCTCCGGCATCTTCACGCTTCCCAAAGTGTATCTGTACATCAGAGACGTCACTATTCCAAGTGTCTTTTTAGTGTGGCTTTAGTATGGCTTCCTTTTAATATTGTACATACATTGTATCTTTGTTTTATGGTAATAAGTAATAAAAATGTAGACTTCATATTTTGTACAAAATGTCCTATGTACAGAATAAAAAAAGTTCATAGAAACAGCAAAATAGGTAAGTGGCACAATTATTTTTCTTTAGAAGATATCTGTAACTTTACGCTTTAGTGAAATGTTAAGTATCTACATATTTTTTAACATTTTGTAATTCAAAACTTTTTGTTTTGACATTGTTTATGAAGAGAAAACTTCATACACTTGCCATTTAATATGCTCTTTTATCTAATTTTAAAAAACTCTAAAAATGGTGTATTATATGGACTAAATAAAGAACATGTGAATTTTATTGCTCATCATGAAACTACATGTAGCCATGGTGTCGGGCCGGCTGGTCCTGGTCGCTCTCGAGTTTCTCTCCGGGCGAGGGCGGCCACCCAGCAAGTGCTGTGCTCCCCTGGGCTCGACCCGGGGGCCCACTGTTCGCTTCCCCAGGGGAAAAAGTAACGGTGCCTTTCGCCGCCACCCCGCCTCTCCCCTCTGAGAAGGCAAACGTGAGTCAGAGCAGTTTCTAGAAATGGAATCATTTGAGCCCAAATCGTGATGTTTAAAGTGATTCTTGAAAAGAAATTAATGTCTTGCAAACAGAATCGTGGAGAATCTGAATGCAGGGCCTCAGCTGACTGGCCCCCCTTCTTCATGGGGATCGTCACCGATCTCACCGATGCTGTTAATGAAACATCAACCAAAGACTGAGAGTCGAGCTGTTTCCTCAAGTCACTGCCACAAAGCGCCCAGGTCCGTGGCTGTGCTTGGTGGACGTCCCAGCAGGTGTGTGGGGCTCACCAGTCCCTTCACCTGTCACATGGTCTTGTAAGCCTTCCGGGGAAAAGCACAGAAGGAGTCGCCCTGGGTCCTGGGAGCGATGAAGGGCCCAGCCCCGGCAGCGCGTGGCCGTGCACGTGGTGACTCCGTGGGGAAGTCTGGGGAACCACGTGAACCCCACTTCCACCCTGGAGCGGGTACGCTGCTCAGCGGACACCCTAAACGTGGCGCAGCGAGGAACTCGCCGCGCCCTCGGGCCGGGTGGAGTCGGGGAAGTCAGGTAGCATCCTGGGGCGCGGGAGGGAGCCCCTGGGAGACCCCAGTAAATGGACGATTTGAGTCCAGCTCCGTGCCGCCCGTCTTGCACGGCGGCAGGTGACGGGTGGCGCCGGCTGCGTCTCCTTCCCTGAGAACCGGCACCTTCGTGCTGTGGGCTGTCGGACACTGGGTTCCTTTACTCACTTCCCGTGACCCACCGAAGGACCTGCCCATGTCCGTCCTCACTGACAGGTGAGGACACGGATTCACAGAGGTCAGTCACCTGCCCAAGGTCGCGTAAGCGCAGAGTGGAGCTAGGTTCCCGCCCCGCAGTGTGGCCCCGGGCTCCATCCCTCACCTGAGGAGCACCTGGGTCCTACGGGTGGGGGTGGGGCTGGGAACACTCCAGACTGACCGCCGTGCACTTCGCTTCCAGAACTGGAGGGTCCCAGAAGCCATCCAGCCCCGTGGCCCCTTCACACACACTTCAGAGGCCACTGTTTTCACATAAACCTAAAGTTCCTAATACTTGAACTACTTAAAAACACTCAGCCACGTCAGGCCAACTTTCAACCCTTCAGAGAACCCAACAACTCGTTAGCGTCTGTCCTCGCTAACTTTACGATGTTACTGTATGAACCTGTACATCTGTCAAAACGTCAGCTCTTTAATATTTGTGGTTCTACGTAAGATTTCATTTCGGGGGGGTGGGGAGGGGGATGGATTTCACTATCAAAAAGTTTGAAATTCACTAAGATGAACTCTTAGAGAACTGGAAGGAGGAGAGGTTGCAGCTCACCGTCTCCCTGCTCTGGGGCACAATCCCACATCCTTGTGCTTTTTATGAAAGTTTTATGTAAATTCCACAGCACTTTTGGGGAGTGAAGGAAAGAATCTCTTTTTATGAGAGAGAGTGTGTGAGCAGGGGAGGGGCAGTGTGAGCATGTGTGAGCAGGGGAGGGAGAGGAAGAGAGAGTCCTACGGTCAGCATGGAGCCCGACGCGGGGCTTGATCTCATGACTGTGAGTGAGATCACGGTCTGAGCCGAAATCAGGAGTCGGGTGCTTAACCAACGGAGCCACCCGGGCGCCCCGCTGCTGGTCACATCCCGTTTGGGGTAAACGTGGCCTAGTTTAACCCTGTGGGGCTTTTAGAAACCGTCCCATAAATTTCAGCTGGAGCTGAACTCAGATTTGTGGCTTATTTTATGGTCTGATGTGGATAACTGATGACTGGTCGATCACAACAGTTTTTCGAGCCGTCTGTTTTTCTCCATTTTGTTACTGACATGTAACTGACCTGCAGCCGGGAGTCCCTTCAAGCGCACCAACGGCCTGACTTACACGCTGTCGTGAAGTTAAGTTTCGTGAACATCCGCCTCCTCATTTACTTAACCCCAAGAAAGTCCCCTGGATTCCTGACCTAAGAACAGCCAGTAAGGGGCACTGTGGTCAACACTGTTGTGCGGGGGGAGGAACGGCCGCGGGGTAGGGGGCGTCTCAGGCCTCCACTGGCCCCGGAATGAGACACATTCAGGGAGCCGCCTTTACCCCGCGGGTCTGTGTCCCAGAGGCGTCTAATAGAGGCGCTCAGTCTCTGCATGTCTCTCATACACACACCCCAGCCTGCTCACACCCGCTCTGTGCACAGTCGGAATATGGATTTGAGGGGGCGTCGGGTGGACCCGGGGATAAACCGTTACACTGAGAGGTCAACCTGAGGTTGCCTGTTCGTCTCCATCAGGTGCAGTCGCCTCGTCGGTCTTCATTTCTGTCTCCAAAACACGTCTTGCAGAAATCTGCCTCAGGTCCATTGTCGATTGCAGGGCACCGTGTAGCCAGTGACCGCACAGGCTTAGTCTCCCGCTGCCCCCTGCCTGCCCGGGTTTCCCTGGAGCCCCCAGGTTCCATCGTACCACAGGCGGATGAACAGAGCCTCGAGGAAGCTGTCCACCCCGCATGACGTGACCCCCACGTGTTGGGACCTTACTGAAAATGGGCTCTTTGACCAGTAAGTTACCCCCAGAGTGAGCGCACTGCCCGAGGCTGGGGTCCGGAGTGGGCCCCCTCCCGGGCCGGCCAGAGTGTGGGGCACCGCTGAGCCCACGCGATCCCGGCCGACCCCAAGGCCATGTTCACTGACGGCTCTTGAGCTGAGAAGCGAGTGACACCTATAATAAGTCTCCCTACTGGAGGGGTCATTGTCTTCCGTTCAGTGGTGTCAAAATGCTGAGGACTGCGTGGCGGAAGTCTCCGCTGGGAACCCCGAGGTTGCTTCCTCCGCGGCTGTTTCCTCATGAGTTTCGAGAAGACCAGAGGAAGAAGCCTTCCACGTGGGCTGACACCACGAGAAAGGAGCGAGTGCGGGAACAGCTCAGTGGCAACCTGCCCGACAGGCTCACGGGAGGGACTGTTGGGGGAAGGGCTGCGGTCACACTGGGGACAGCAAGGGACACAAGTAAAAATCCGCAACAGGCAAAGCTGCGCAGGGCAGGGGCCGTAGCCAGAGAGGTCGGGCTCGCAGCCTGCGTGTCCTCCCCCAGAGGTCGCTGCCCCCAGCAGCGCTGCCTGCACGGCGCCAGCCGGGGAGCCTGGCTGCCCAGGGTGTTGGGTCTTTTTTCTTAGATTTACTTGTTTTGAGAGGAGAGACAGCATGAGTGGGGGAGGGGCAGAGAGAGAGGGAGACGGAATCCCAAGCAGGCTCCACGCTGTCAGCACAGAGCCTGACGTGGGGCTCAATCCCTCAAACCGTGAGATCATGACCTGAGCAGAAATCAGGAGTCGGACGCTCACCCCGGCGCCCCACTGTCCAGAGTTGCACGGGGGCTACTCACATTTACCCGGCCGACTTTGGTGCCCGGCCTCCACCGCGCAGCCCTCAAGCCGCACCCTCAGCCCCGTGGTCAGCATGGACTAGCCCGCCCGGCCCAGGCACCCGGGTGACAGGCAGGACTTTACCAGGGCTCAGGGGTGACTTGTCAGGAGCCAGGGCAGAGACCAAACCTGTCCTCGGGCCTGGTGAGCCCTCCACTGCGCGTCCTTGCAGACGAGGACCTGGAAGTGGAGACCGGCTCGTTCACTGGCCAAGGCCACGGCTCACGAGGCACAGGCAGGAGCGGAGGGTCGTATGGGGCCCCTGGCTCAGCCCTTCCCACGGCACAGTCATGTGCAGACAGCAGAGGTGGGGGGAGGCTGCTGGCTCCATCAGCAGACCTGCTCTCCAGGTAACCCGTTGGGAAAGGTAGAAGACTCCAGACAGCAGACCGCAAAACATATGGGCCGCTCTCAGCAGGTCTGGGAGGGCACCACTCAACACCGTGAAAGGGCTAAGAGGTGACCTGATTTCAATGTCAACATCAAATAAATGTGGGAAACGTACCTCCCAACACACGTCCATCGCTCCTTTGGTACCTTGTACTTAGCGACGTGAGGGCCCAGCCAAAGGCTCCAGAATGTCAGAATCTCAGGCAAAAGAAACCTTATTCATTCATTCATTCATTCATTCATTCGTTCGTTCATTCACAGTCTAATGGACACCACGGGCCCCCTGTCCAAACTAAAACGTAGTCAAGGGGCACCTGGGTGGTTCAGTCAGTTAAGCGTCCGACTTCAGCTCAGGTCATGATCTCACAGTTCGTGGGTTCAAGCCCTGCGTCGGGCTCTGTGCTGACGGCCCGGAGCCTGGAGCCTGTTTCAGATTCTGTGTCTCCCTCTCTCTCTGACCCTCCCCTGCTCACACTCTCTCTCTCAGAAATGAATAAAACATTTTTTAAAAAAGTAATTCCATATTCGAAAACAGTTGGCAATACTGTGTCACCCCTTCCTCCCACGGAAAGTTTTAAAAATATGACAATACGATCTGCCTCCTGACCTACGAAATCCAGAATTCTAGGAATCCTGGTCTACTTGAAAGCCCTCGTTTTACAGAAAATGCAGTAGACTCAGAGATAGGAAAGCCCTTGACCAGTGAGTGCTG